TGGCTCTTAGTAAAGCTGGTAGTGGTGTTTAGCAGTGTTTTTTTTATTGATAAGTGTTGACATTGTTGGTTCCACAGTAGTTTTCCGTCTTGGAACTGTCCGTGGTGCTGAAGCGGAGCTGCCTTTAGTTCAGTCTGAGCATCTTATAACTTCATTGTTTTGGCTCTGGAGTTTTAGGTTGGAGCTTTGCCAGTGTGTTTATTCAGACCACGCGTATGAAGTTTATGTTTCAGCTGTAATCTTTTAAATTTTAGCGAGTTGTTCACTATGTTTACTGTACTTTTATTTCGCGAGATTCCAGACTTAACTCTAAAGATGCCTAAGTATTGAATTAGGGCCCAAATCCATAATCTTTAGCTGTGTTACTGGGGTCTATTATTGATCAAAGGAAGTGAATAAAACACCTACGACAGTTTTGGTTGAGGACTGTAGATGGCACCATTGGTTAGGTTGTTAACTGTGGTCAATCCAGGACGGAGGAAAAGAGTGATAAAGCTGGCAGTCAGGGGTAGAAATGACAGTGTGTCAGAACATAAACTTAAGTTACTTCAGTAGCGCTGCCCATACTTTTTTTTTTAAGCTGGCATCTTAAATTCCTCATTTATCAGTGGTAGCCTATTATAAAAGTTATATGAGAATAGACATCTTAAAAGGTGGAAAGACATGGGCGTTCATATTTTTATTATTTATGATAATCCCCCGTCACAACATCACTGCTTATTCCACTATATTCATTTTGTATTAACATGACTGCTGACATCTGATGATGGCTACCTGCTGTTTTATAAGCAGGCGAGCTGCATCAGTAATTCTTTACTTATTTTCGTGACTTTCTGTTCAGTCTTGTCTGATAAAATATCTGCGGTATCCTATCCTGTCCTCCTCCATATCCTCTTCCTCCTCTTCGCCACCTCCCCGCCCCCTCGCCACCTACGCCCCTCTTTCTTGATATGTACGCTGATATGAATTATTCCATATGACGGGCAATATGGATATATTCGTTTTCTAACTGTGCACATGGACTAGTGTGTCACTAGTAAGAATCCCCGTCCTGTCCCTCCTCCCCGCCGCTCGTTCTCCAGGTTGTAGGTGGGATGCTCTCAACAGCTCAGCTGAGTCTGTGCTCTGCGCTGGGCTCACACACTGCATCCAGAATGAGGCGCCTCCTGCTCTTTTACCTTGGGCTGCCTCGCTTCAACCAAAGACAGAAAAACAAATGGAATCTCCTCAGTGATTCGTTCATATCATCCGCGTTGCCTTTCTAAAACGTTAAGTCTCTTCCTGACAGCAGCAGCTTCAGTGAGGGATCAGGGGAAACCAGATACAAACAGGTGTTTCCATCCTATGGCTGCGCATTGAGCTTCATTCACGACTGTCTGCCTTCCCGAATACCATGTGCGCGGCCATGTAGTTTAGTGAGATGATGCAAAACCGTTTACAGGGACTGGGTTTGTGCGTATTTGTTGTGATGCTGAGAAAATGATACAGTTGGAGGAACATGCAGCGTGTTGTGGTGAAAGTCTTTGTACAGCTTCACGGTGGAACGTGTGGTTTTTATTTTTTAAGTTTCACTTTTTTCTCGGAGATACAACGGATAATTCCTGAATAACGCCCAAATTCACGAAAAATGATTCATTTGGACATTATCTAAAAGGCTTCACCGCACTGCTGGGACTATTTTACTGTGTATTTTTTCCATAGTCCATATTGCAAATTCTGTGTTATTTAACCAATCGTTGTAGACTGTTTCCACTGCGCCTGGACGTTTCCCTTCAGAGTCCAGCTTTCTGGATTCAAAGGGGGTGATTATTTTCACGCTTCCTCGGAAGTTTTTTCCAGAGCGCTGCCAAACTGGCCATGGCTGCAGCGATTGCCAGCTCCCTCATAAGGCAGAAAAGGCAGGCGAGGGAGCGGGAGAAGTCTAATGCCTGCCGCTGCGTTAGCAGCCCCAGTAAAACCAAAGGAAGCTGTGAAAAACCCAGTCGACTGAACGTTTTCTCCCGGGTCAAACTCTTTGGGTCGAAGAAGAGGCGAAGGAGACGACCAGGTCTGTTGTGCAATTTCATCTCCATCTACTGTAGGGCGCCATTATATTTCAAAATCATCTAAACAAGACAGATATTAAGTATTGCTCCACTTCTACTTAAGATTCAAAACATTATTGACCCTGCCAAAGTTGGTGGGAGAATGAGGGGGCTCCCACATGAAGTTTGTCCACAGAGAAGTCACCTTTGGCATCTCAGGCTGCGCTGAGGCAAATATCAAAGTGATGCTTCATCCTTCATCGTCTATTTATTCAGTCCACACTGGCCTAGATACACAAAAGTGCTTATTAAGTAGATTTTGGAAATCACTCAAGGCTTGACTGTCGTTTCTTACTGTTAAAATTAAACTGGATAATCAGTTCAGCACTGGTCATTTTTGTATCACTGTCCAAAATGGATTAATACCTAAGATTGATGTATGGTACCCTTGGGTAGACTATCCCTTAAATATAGTTTCTTAATGAACCTCAAATGAGAGAGAAAGTTGACACATTGATTTAAATAAGCGAGTTGTAACTTTTATTTACAATTTCAAGCTGACTAGACATTTAGCTCCCGCCTTATATTTCCCTGTATATATTGTCAAGTTCTTTGTTGCTGAAATTATTACAATTTATCCAACTGAAAATTGATTTGAAAACTGAGGGCAGAACAACAGCTAAGGTGATAACGCTAAGTATTATAAGTGGAAGAGTTATTGTATCCCCAGACATGTGAGCCGAGGTCCAGGGTGGCTCTTATTAAAGCACTCTTATTATTGCAGTGACAGAAGTGTGTCTCTGTAGCCTGAAGCATACACTCCCTTATAAATCTAGTGCAGAGGTGACCACGACTGCACATCTAAGCGGATCAGATCTTTGTGAGTTGTATGTGGAGTTTCACAATGTGTGTTGACATGATAACTGCATAGTCGTACAAGATTCAGCTCTTTATTCAGCCCCCATCCACTTCATTTATGTCCAAGTTGTTTCATAACTCTGTATATGATGTACAGTAATTAGAGGTTGGGGTGCCTATTTATGCAACAGTATAACTATCCTACAGTTTTTACACCCCTCTCACTTCCAATTTCCATTTCTATCCTGTGGAGGAAGCAGTAAGTGCCAAGTAGAAGGCGTTGTCTGTGTGTGACTTGCAGATGGTGCCTCACTAAACAAAAAGAACTGGCATCTCTCAGAAATACAGTGTGGACTCTCAGTATATTTACTTTGGTGTATTGTCCGCTAATGTTGCATGCACATGGTCCTCCTCCTCTGTTCACACCACATGCTGACATATGTACATTTCTAAATGTATGTCTGTGTGTGAAAGTAATCCAACTACAGAGCTGATGCATATCTGCAGACCACAGTTCTTCTTTTGTCTAGGTGTCATTACTTGATAATGAATGAACACAGACAAAATAATTACAATATTCCCAGTGTCTGAACTGAATAAACCTTCTGTGTAACAAAAGTAACCTTAGCTAGGCTAGAAATGGCAGTACTGAAAGGTAAGTGAGATGAAAGGATAGATGAAAGGTGTGGTAAACCACAGTAAAGGACACTCCACTAGGGACAGTAACCAGGGAATGGAGAGCACTTAGCGCTTATCAGACATTACACAGATATAACACAGACATGCTACCCAGCCACTTCAAAAGTAAATGCTCTGCCACTTAAAACTATTGTCTTTTAGACTTACTGATGCTTGATTTTATGTTGCTGCACTTAGTATTGTAGCTTTTGCCCATTTGACTGGAAAAACTATTGCTCTCATCATCACTCCATATTCCTGTCCTTGTTTTAACTCCATCTAACAGACTGGAAAAATGCAGCTCCTTCATTTGCACCTAAATGTACTGTCAATGTAATCTATTTTTAAATAAATAAAGTTTTGATTTTTATTTTGATTTTTTTCAACAGCAAATATATTAAAGAAGATATGATTTTCTGGAAACCAAGGCAGTTTTATAAAAAAGTTATTTTTCTGTCATTCTACCTTCATTGGACAGTTCAGGTGTAGTAGAGTGATGGGAAGCATGGAGAGAGAAGGGGGGGGGGGGGACGCGGTGACATGCAGCCATCTTAAGACGACTGAGCCACCACACACAAAAGCCATTTTCAAATTTCATACCACTTGCTCTTGTCCATCTGTGATCTTATTTCATTGTTGTCGAGCCACAGGGGCAGATTTTCCCCTGTTCACCCCTGTTCCACTGTGGAGAAAACGCAGAAACAGTTTGCGAGTTTTCATGGATTGTGGACTCAGCAACACTGATCAAACCGTTCTTACCATTTTGCCATTTGCCACTACTATTAACATTAACTTCAGTGTCTCATCTTACAGTTCCATGAAACATACACGTCATTTAAATTGTTTCAATTCATCAGATGTCTTGCTTTATTTGTTTATATACCCTCTGGACATAAGAATGAAATGGCCCTTGTAAAGTGGCTGCAGGATCAGCGGGAGTCTGCGTATAGGACATCAGCAAACCCAGAGCCTTTATCAGTCATCTTGTTTCATAAAGCAGCAACCACCATGACTAAGTGGTCAAGCTAATGTGAATGTGAAATGCAATTGCAGCTCCTCTAATGGCTACCAGATTCTTATTTAAAATCTTTATACGAAAAGGATTCCATTAAAAACGTCTCTAATTCTTTTCCACAAGACGGTCAGATCTTTATAGTTTAATTTCCTTCTTCTGACATGTTATTATTTAGCAGTCCTAATTGTGAGTTGTTGTTTTTGTCCCACCTCGGCTCCACTCAGCCCTCCTACCCTTTGACTCGATTGGATTTTATGGCTCCAGGAACTTCCCAAAATGGCGGCAAGCAGTAAACAGATATCGAAGCTTCAAAATGTCCCTTTAGAAAGCTACGAGTGACATCACATTGCTATGTTCATGTCTTTCTACAGTACATGGTTTCATTCTTGTGTCTTCCTCTCCCTGTTTCCCCTCTGCTTTCACAGAGCCCCAGCTGAAGGGGATTGTGACTAAGCTGTACAGTCGACAAGGTTTCCACCTGCAGCTGCAGGCAGATGGAACCATTGACGGAACGAAGGAAGAAGACAATGGTTACAGTAGGTTTCAAGATAATATTTTGCCACGCTAAATTTTAAATCATACATCTACTGCCATGCTGCACTTTTATCAGGCGGAAGCTTTTACCTTGCTGTGAATTCAACATACTACAGACAGTGTATCCAGTACAGCAGCTTTGTTTTTCTTGCGTTCGATTATATATGCTGAATTCTCTTTCTGAATTGCTGGATTTGAGATTTGAACCGCATTCAAACTGTTCAAAACATTTGATGTTTGTGGATAAACAGTTCATAAGTAAGTGCTGCAGTACTGAGTGGTTGTTTAATTTGATCTAATCAAAGTCATTCTATAGCAACCTGAGCACAGAGGATTGGCTTTTCACTCTCCTACACACTGCCTCTGTGCTGAGAGCCAGTTTTGTCTAATACTATGTATTGATGCATCCCTATCATTGCCATTACACCCACCAGCTCTTTGTTTTCCAATAGACAGATTAAAGAGGAGATCAATGGAAGAGTAACAGCACAGCCACTTGTCTGGTAACAATACAGCAGAAATGGACCACCTTATAATTAGACAGTGCAGTGAACACGGCATGCTTTTAAAGATTAGGGTACAGTGGGGTTAATGACCTATGTGAAATCAACTTTGTCCTCACTCCAAATGAATAAATGTCTGCATGGTACACAGAAACAGCTTTGATGTAATTCCTACTGTGTTAATCCCAACACTAAGCGGATGTAAACACTTTTGGAGCCTCTGAATTAGTACCTCTGTATTCAATTAGTCCCTTAGTGGAGATGGCGTGTGTATCTTACATAGAAATAGCAGCTCTGTGCAAGTGGAGTGTTGTCTAAGCAGAACAACACCTTATAATTTGTGTAGAGTTTGTTTCCTAAATAAAATGATAGCAAAGTTAAATACTACACAGATCAGACCATGTGCAGGAGCAGAAATGAAGATCAACATCTTACACACACACTATTATACATGATATGAAAAACCAACCACCCCACCCATCATGTCTGCGTGGACTCACTTTTCTGTTGACTTGCATAACAACTGGCCCGCATTGGCACCAAAATAGTTTTTGAAGAGAAAATTAAAGAGTACTGCTGAATAGGAAGAGGAGAAAGAGTGAAGCTCTTTGCACTGCTCCAAAAATAGCGTTGTTAGGCGCTGGGTGCACTTGTCTCCATGGTGACGGAGAGCACAGTCCTCTTGGAGCTACCGGTGTCTTGTGATGGTGGGAGAGGACCCACTCAAATGTGTGTGCACACACACGCACACAAAAACAAGGACTTGATCTTTGCTACCGTAGCTTGCTGAGAAGACACTTTGGCCGTTTGGCTGTGGTCATAAAGAAGTTTGATATTTCTGTGACATTTTCATTAGGAAGGCAAACAATGTTAGAAATAACAAATCCAAGTCTCATAAATCCCTGTGAATTCCTTCTCATTTTATACAGTGTCAGCCATTTTCTTGTATTACATCACAACTGAGCAAACCCACTGGGTATCTTGGGACACAATAGGGGATTGTAAGGCAACTCTAAGTTTCTTTTCCTTGAAAGGAGGGTACTGTTTCAGTGTTGAAAACAAAGCAGTCCTATTCTCAGTCTTTTCCTGGCTTTATAAATAGACTCAAAAGTTTCCATTCATTTGTTAAAATGTCAAATTTTCCTATTCCCCTATTTTAGCAATATTGGAGATGTTGGATCCCAGAATTTGGCAAATAAATTAGCCAGTCTTCCGTTGTGTAATTCACTATGGTATTCGCTATGGTATGCACCCAAATCACATTTAATGTTTTTATTGCTACTAGACTCTTACATTATTTACCTACCCCAGCCTTATATTTTTTCTTTAAGTAACCCAGTTTTCTTCAACCAAGGAGCCACTGCTGTTGAACAGCAATCAGACCACAAAAGTGGTGTGTAATGTTGTCACAGCAGCTTACTTTTTTAGCTCCAATACTTTGTCGTGCTGTCATATTCAGGATACTCTAATTGCAGGCATGCTGTTCCCAGAATGAGTAACAGGATAAATGTTTAAAATGTGACTTGCCATTAGTAGGAACCTTCAGGTTTATTGTCACACTGAATCGCTCAAGATTCCTAGACTAGTTAGTGGGTGGAACTGAGACACAGAGACAGCCTGCAAGCAATTGTGAAAACTGTCCCTCAGGCCTCCTCACCCCTTCTTATTCCATGTGCCTCTCTGCCCCAGGAAAGGTCTGTGAGTGGGTGGCAGCCCTGCCGTCCTCTTCAGTGTGCTCAGGTGTTTCTAGGAGCCAGGAAGTAATTGAGTTTCCCCTCTTGAAAATCTCCATCAGTGCACTGGCTGGTAATCCTTTTGAAATGAAGTGGACTGCAGATGTGTACGTGTGCGTCGTGGTGGGAGTATGAAAGGATAAAACTCAGTGAGCGACGCAGAGTAAGGAGGGTGCAATTATAAAGACAAGAACTGCTCACATAGCAAGATGTTTCACATCAAATCATCAAATCTAACACTATTCTACATATAAGAAAGAATTATACAAAATGTTTAAACACAGATCCAAATGTGTTTCATTTATATTTGAATAAGTTTGCAAATCTGGTTGGTTTACGACAGTAGTGAGACATCTTATGAAAACACTCTGCATTGTTAGACCCTCCACCATTTGTTTAGAAATGTTTGAAGTGATTTGGTGTTAAATTAATCAATTAGACACTATACACTAAGTATAGTTTATGTTTAGGTTGAAAGAACATCTCAGTGCAGCCAATCATTTAATTTAGTTTCTGTCTTTGGTCGACATAGTCAATAAATACAAATTTGGCAAGCAAATCTATCATTGGTCAGCTTAATGAATGCACAAAATTACTGTACAGTACATCTAAAAATACTGTAGATATTGAGGTTGTAAATAGTAAGTCTTATCTGTTTGAGATATACATTTTACTGGCAGCATCTTCTGTACACAGCTGCCAAAGCAGGCGTCACCAGAGATACAGCCGCAGAAAAGATACAGCAATCTGTCATTTTGAAAGCTTCAAGATAGAGTGTGTCTCTTTCCCCAGGGAGCCATCTTTTGATTGCTGCACTATTATATGAATGTCAGTAACTATGTGTTGGAAAAGTGGTGCAATTTTTGGGTGAGCTTAAGTTAGTTAAGAAAGTAAGTCAACCACACTGAACCTGGGAATATAACTGAGTGTTTAAGATGCATTGAGTATGGAGAAATAGATAGGAGTTCTGATTATATAATTAATACATGAAAAAATAAATGAAATAATGATAATGACAGAAAAAAATGCTTAACATTGAGAACTCTGTTAGTGATTGATTATATTACATAAAAGACTACATCACTATATATTTGTGACAGCCGTTTTGAAAATATCTTCAGATCAGTCAAGGCACCATTTGAGGGCTGGCAAATATATTCTCATGTGAAATTTATCTGTCCATTTTGACATTCTTTTGTTGTTATTGTTGATATACACTGACCATTACATTATTTCATCGGGGACAATGAGAACATACAAGAGGTAAAGAGTGACAGAGATGGATAGAAAGATGGAGAGGGTGCAGCAGGGAGAGCGGACAGAACCGCAGAGCGAGTGGTTCTTAAAACGCCTTTTCACTGAACCGAGAATATGCTGCCAATGCCCGTTTACGCCAACAAGTAAATACATTATGCATTCCTCTGGTTGTTGTTTACAATGAAGGCCCAGAGAGAAGCTGGTCTGCTGTGTTAAAGCCATAAGGGCAGATGAAATAGCCCATCAAAAAGCCTCTATAGTGCACTTCTCGCAAAGGAGTCTGCAGATAGTTATCTACTAAGTGGCTGACAAGAGGACCTATAGTAAGGTCACAGTCTGACTCACAGCTTATCTGATGTGAGAATTAAGTTTAATCTCTCCTCTCATATGTGTCTAAATTTGGAAGTCTCTATCCTAACGTGATAATGTACAGTCTTAACAACCAAGAGGGAAACTTGAGAGGAATGTTGTTGCTGTGGATATCATTTACTGTATTTGGTACTATCAAAAGGATAAAACAAAAATCCACAGCAGTGGTGATGGCATCATTGTTTGGGAGTATGTCCAACAATAGTCAGAACAATGGGCGAGAAGTTTTCTTTTTCGGGAACAGAAGCACGACTACAGACTTTCAGGTGGACGCTCATGTGCTTTCCTTTATTCAGCCTGTGGGTTTCCTGCCAGCATCTTATGAAACACACACACACACACAACACACACACACACACACACACACACACAGCAACCTTAATTTGGCAGAAGTGTAGGCTACTTCATTGACCTGCTGTCTCCCCTCCCTTGTGTTTGAGCATTAAGTCTATGTACAGAAATAAGTGCATGTTTTTTCTCTTCCCCCACTCGTAATGCTGCATCACACAAGGCCCATAATGACCGCTGGTAGATGACATGATGGAGAGAGCTGCACCATCATCGTCGACACATTCACAACTTGTTTTCATGTTTGATTCCTTTCCAGTTCAGTGATTTTTACATATTGTGTTTGCAATATTTAGGCTTTACAAAGCCTACAATTGTGGTTCATGCGGGTGAATACACAACATCGTGAGCTACTTCATCATTTAAAAAAAGTTTCTCCGTTTCTGTCTTTTGTTTCTGATTTGAGAAAGTAGCTGCGTCTCTGAGCTTACATCTTACATCTATTTGTGGTATTGTTTTGAGAACTCACTCTTCCATCCCGACAGATAGCGAATACTAAATACAGCTATTTGAACCCCTGATGGTGAATGCTACATACATAGTTAACCAGGCAGAGTACACAACGCTTTGGGTTTGCTCTAAAACTTACTTGGATTTCTGAATTACTCATGTACTATATATGTTAAATTATCTACTATGTTACTACAAGCTGCACTGAACACTTTAAATACATCTTGGATGATATATATCTCTAGCATGCATTGTAATAATAAGAAATTATAGCCACTGTACATGTACATTTTTTATTCATTGGCTTCTTCTTATGTGATAAGTGTATTAAATGGAGATGAAAATGTACGGTGCTTATACTTTGTTTCTGCTGTCCGTCTCTTTCAGCCATGTTCAACCTTATTCCAGTGGGGCTGCGAGTGGTGGCCATCCAGGGGGTGCAGACCAAACTCTATCTGGCTATGAACAGTGAGGGCTACCTGTATACATCAGTAAGTGTACTGTATTGTTTGTGTGAATGTGTGTGTGTGTATAGGATGGCTCCTGGCTTCAATGCTAGTGGGTGTCCCTCTAGTCCAGCTGTGTGCAGAGAGCATGTTGGATCTCTGGCAGACATGTGAGTTACTATGTTAGACAAAAGATATACAGTATACTTGAAAAGAATAGCCGATATGTTGCTTTAAGGCTTCATATTTTAGCAGATTTTTTTCTTCTAGTTATATTATTTGTGTAAATGGGTAACTAATTCACACTGTGCCCACTCAGACACAAAATCATCCTGATCCTGATGAAAGAGCAGCATCACTTTCTGATATAATTCAGTGTCAATAAAAAGTTCAAGGATTGTGTAAGCAGGCGGAGCAGTGACATATCTGATCGTGACAGCTGGCTCTTCATCTTTGATTAAATGTGCAAGGTTATGAATAATTCAGTTGCAGGCCGAACAATGTTCCTGTTCGTCTTCCTCCCAAATGCCACCATCGCATTGTGTGGCAGGCGTCACGGAGAGGACTGACAGGCTGGTTGGATGTGCACCCAGAGGGCGTGCAGACACACACGTTTACTGTTGACAGACAATCCTCATAGTCAAATTAGTAAAGATTGTTCTGTATGGTAAAGGTCTCAGTAGGCAGACACAACAATGATTGATAGAAACAAGCCAAGAAAACCTAATGATCAAGTAGCTTTTTATTCTGTAGCTGCTGCTGACAAATTATCTATTACATGCTTAGGCAGTAATGTGATGAATGTCGAAGGAAAACTGGCCCTCTGGCCCCTCTGGCTCTCTCTCGTACACACAAACACACAAATGCATTAATAAACAAGGTTAATGTGCTAGCTCTCACCAAGCATTAGTTCAGTCAGAAACACTTGCATCAAGGAACTGCGAATGGTTAATCATTTAGATTTGGTGAAAGAGGCTCTACTCTTTGAGGGAGCTCTCAGTCCAATCCAAGAAACAATAGGGATTCTGCTGAAAATCCCCTAAACAACAAACACAATCATGAACCATATCTTAGCAAAGACAATGATAACAAAATGGTCAGCACATACTAAATAGGAGATTGAGGTACAGGGGACAGCTACAACAGCAAGCAACATTATAAAGATATCTGCAGAATAACAGTGACAACTGTTGCAATGTAAAGGTCGGCCTGTACACCTGTGTAAACGTGACTGGATCTTACGAGAAAGCTGGTAGCCAATCAGCTGAGGTATGCACCACTGACACCAGTGAAGCATAAATAAAATCCCTGATAGCCGATCAAATAAATTTCACCGCGCTACAATTAACACAAGAACATTTAACTGTAACTTAAACAATCGAAATATTTATGTTTGTTTAGTGACAAATGTGGAAAGTAAAACACTGCAATCATAGATTGTGACGCACACAATCACTGTATCAAATCAGAGATTCATTGTAATAACAGTATTTATACAATTACTATTTATACTTAATACTATTTATACAGCCCAGCACTTGCTGTCAACCAATCCCACAGTGACAATGTCAGTACCTTCTGGTCCTGTCTGGCTGAGGCTGTGTTGCAGACCTCCATCTGAATCCCTATCAGATCTACGAGAACTTTTCTGTTGTCCATGCTATGCTCCGACTTCCTTTTGGAGGAACGAAGTAATAATTATTTCTGCAAGGAATCAACAGCATTATATAAATAATTGCTCTGTCAAAATTTACCTATATTCTGATACTTGTTACATTTTAAAAGTAGCAAATCATTTTAACATATGCAGGACTTAATTTAATATTTTTAATTTGGAGACCAACAGTTTTGCAATTCATACAGTACAACACTGGCAAGTTTTATTTGACAGTTTGACACAATTGCAGTTTACACAAACCTGAGAAAACATTTGTGTTGTTTTACCTGTCACTCAGCATTTAATTGCAAGTATAACCAGTTGAGCTGCTGTCCCTAGAAATGTCATGTTCTTACTAAATCATCAATTGAAAATAAAAGTCAAATTTCTAGTGAACAGTTATGTTTAGACACAAGGATCTCATTCAGTGTAGTATTTGTAAGACCAAAAGACTGACAACATAATCACGGCAGCCTATTGTGAATGTTGTATGGTCTGTCTATAATTACATCTTATAATGAGCGCTAGCATTTGTTTGACAACATATCCATGTGGGTTGCCCTAGCTAAACATGCCTGAGGGGAATATACAGGAATAATTGAAATAAAAACATACTCCTTAAACCCCTTCCCACACACACATATATTCACGCACTGTATTTAACATGGCACTCTAGTAGTCCACAGCTCCTAGTGAGTGAGTGATTTTAATGATATGAGCTTGGCTGTCAGTAATTAAGCACATGCAGCAAGCTGTAGGATTAATTTAATAAAGATGGATCCTGCTGACAAAGGCTCTACGAGCAGAGAGAAGCAGCAGTAGAAGTACTAGCCTATTTCTTAACGGCCTTTTAGTGCTAAGGTTTTAGGAAAAATGGATGCCAAGAAGCATACAATGACTTTAGATGAGCATTATATTCATGTTAAATTTCCTCCTTGCTTCTGCCTGTTGCACTTCACTGAAACAGCTCTTCACGATCTTCAATGACATCTTAATGCACAGTGCCGCAGGAGAGTAATCTAGCGTGGCACTGTTGGATTCTGAGAGCACCTTTTCACATTACTGATCATGGTATTCTTAAACTGAGAAGCCTAGGCAGTGGTTTGGTATCTCTGGGTAAACTGTCTCAGTGTCTCAGTTGCTGCTGTTAACTGTGCATTCTCATGTGCAATTCTATCTTGTGGTGTATCCCAAGGTTCTATCTTGGATCCTACCTTGTTTGCCTTTTATATGATTCCCCTTAAACTGAGGTAGAGCTCATCACTGCTATACAGATGATATCCAGTTATATACATCCGATTTTAACCTCAAAATAGGCCCATTGTATCTCAAGATGAGACAGAGAATATTCACGTTTGGTGATTTGAGAGTGCCACTAAAAAGCTTTTGACCAGGTCCTTGAAAAAGGTCTAATCTGACACCTATCTTGATTCAAGGTCAACATTACCACATTTAGAGCTTCCTATGGGTCAGACACCTACCTACATAAACTATTAAAGCACTATATTACTCTAAGTAATATAACAGTACTGTGTATAATATATATATATATATATATATATATATATATATACACATATATATACACACACACACACACACACATACAATACTGTGCAAAAGTTTTAGACAGGTGTGAAAAAAATGGTGTTACTACCCTTTGCCTTCAAACCAGCATCAATTCTTACAGGTACACTTGCACAAAGTCAGGGATTTTGTAGGATTATAGTCAGGTGTATGATCAACCAATTATACCAAACAGGTGCTAATGATCATCAATTTCACATGTAGGTTGAAACACAGTCATTAACTGAAATAGAAACAGCTGTGTAGGAGGCTTAAAACTGGGTGAGGAGCAGCCAAACTCTGCTACCAAGGTGAGGTTGTGGAAGACAGTTTCATATCACAGGTCATACACCATGGCAAGACTGAGCACAGCAACAAGACACAAGGTAGTTATACTGCATCAGCAAGGTCTCTCCCAGACAAAGATTTCAAAGCAGACTGGGGTTTCAAGATGTGCTGTTCAAGCTCTTTTGAAGAAGCACAAAGAAACAGGCAACGTTGAGGATCGTAGACGCAGTGGTCGGCCAAGGAAACTTAGTGCAGCAGATGAAAAACACATCAAGCTTATTTCCCTTCGAAATCGGAAGATGTTCAGCAGTGCCATCAGCTCAGAACTGGCAGACACCAGTGGGACCCAGGTACACCCATCTACTGTCCGGAGAAGTCTGGCCAGAAGTGGTCTTCATGGAAGAGTTGCAGCCAAAAAGCCATACCTCCGACATGGAAACAAGGCCAAGTGACTCAACTATGCACGAAAACATAGTAACTGGGGTGCAGAAAAATGGCAGGCGGTGGTCTGGACTGATGAGTCAAAATTTGAAATATTTGGCTGTAACAGAAGGCAGTTTGTTTGCTGAAGGGCTGGAGAGCAGTACAATGAGTGTCTGCAGGCAACAGTGAAACATGGTGGAGGTTCTTTGCAAGTTTGGGGCTGCATTTCTGCAAATGGAGTTGGAGATTTGGTCAGGATTAATGGTGTCCTCAATGCTGAGAAATACAGGCAGATACTTATCCATCATGCAATACCATCAGGGAGGCGTATGATTGGCCCCAAATTTATTCTGCAGCAGGACAACAACCCCAAACATACAGCCAATGTCATTAAGAAATATCTTCAGCATAAAGAAGAACAAGAAGTCCTGGAAGTGATGGTATGGCCCCCAGAGAGCCCTGATCTCAACATCATCCAGTCCGTCTGGGATTACATGAAGAGACAGAAGGATTTGAGGAAGCCTACATCCAAAGATCTGTGGTTAGTTCTCCAAGATGTTTGGAACAACCTACCAGCCAAGTTCCTTCAAAAACTGTGCAAGTGTAACTAGAAGAATTGATGCTGTTTTGATGGCAAAGGGTGGTCACATCAAATATTGATTTGATTTAGATTTCTCTTCTGTTTATTCACTGCATTTTGTTAATTGATAAAAATAAACTATTAAGACTTCCATTTTTGAAAGCATTCTTAGTTTACAGCATTTTTTCACACCTGCCTAAAACTTTTGCACAGTACTGTGTGTATATATATATATATATATATATATATACATACACACATACATACATACATACATATACACATATATATAAAAAAATACAATGTAGTGTTGTTGCTACTTACCAGTTTGAGATAAATTAGATTAGGTGGATTTTATTTATTAATATTTAAGTTTCTTATGTTGGACTCAAAAAATTGGAACCAATGTTCAAAAAGCACTAGAAGCAGTAAGCAGAATGAGAACTTGAACCAATACCAAACTGCCCTGAATTAGCTTTTTATTCTATTTGTTTTTTCTGATGTATTAATGTGTTTTTATTTTAGTCAAAT